ACTCCGTTTCTTTGCTCTTTTTCGTATAAGTTGCATTTACGAAGTCCGATATTGCGTCGTTTAACAATTCTGCCATTTCCTCTTCGGAGGCGGTGACGGAATCGGTGTTGACTTCTTGGGCAATAGCTCTGTCCAAACTTTTACTTGAATTTATGGTGGATACCGATAAACCATCTACCCACTGACTTTCCAAATCAATCCACTGATTTTTGCGTGAATGACTCAATGAGGACACCAGTGACTGAGATCGACGCACCTTGTTCTTTCTAGATTCACTGATCTCTTTGGTTGTCCCGCTATCGGACGGTGAAACCATTGTGGAGGATTCGAAATTGTCTCCACCCACAGGCCACTGTGCACCAATTTGATTATGATAAGTGGCGGCATTCTGCGAAACCTTGATATTTTGGTAAATTTCGTTAACTTTCCGATTGCTGGGCAATCCACTCTGGGGCGTATCGGATTCGCTCACATCTATCACTTCTGTGCCACTGTTGTACGTTTCATTTCGTGTCGGATTTATGTTCGACGGGGCAGTTTGGATGGTTAATTCGGCCATTGACTCCATTCTTTGAAGAACTTCAATGTATATTTTATTGGACGATTCTTTCTCGCCCTTATTATCTCTAGAGTGTGTTAAACATGAAATACTATCCAGTTTTCGCTGATCGGCAAGATTTGGAACAGCAACTCGTTGGATTATACGCATGAAGTTTTTGAGTGCCTCGTTTAGTGTAGTAGGTATAGTAGACTGGGTGTCGGTGAGCGAACCGGCCGAATCTCTTTCGGTCAAATAGCCCAACAGATTGGTGTTTACGCTATCACCAGCAGCTTGACTACATTCGGAGGATGATACACCATTAGAGCACTGGCAAAACTGTCGGTTTGGGGGTGTGAAAGGAGAATCTCTATGATGAAATTTAGTAACTTTTGATCGAAAACATCGGCAGAAATGACACTTAGATCGTCTGACACTCCAGCACGAGAGAATACCACAGTTGGAGGAAGACGAGGAAGAAGTAGACGAGCAATTGTCTAACATAGAGGAAGTGGTCCTTGTTCGTTGGTTATCCGTGTTTGAACTATTCACGAAATCGCAGAAAATGGTTGTGCCCATAGAGCCGATGACAGCACCGTGGGTGCCTGTCATGCGGCCCAAATGGTCCATGGGGTAATTGGGGGATTTAAAACCATTTATTCTGTATCGATTTGAACAGATCATCCAGTCAGGTAGATCCTCAAATAAGTTGAGGGTCACGTGTCTCACATGCAGTTTTAGTAGAACAGAATGTGGGCATCGACAAACTATGTCAATTTGTAGTGACTGAATCAATCAACTCTAGCATGCAATATTTACCATCCTGGTAAGGCTTATTTCTCTTGAGGTGAAAACTGTTAAAAAGGAATTACACAAGCTTTGATCATGACTTGTTTCGATGTGACCAGTCTCATTGTAATTTGTGCAACAAAATCAACTTTCATCTTTGTTACTAATGATAGAGAGCAAAAATTAGTTGCTGGGTTTCAGTCAGTCATTTGTGCTATTCGTAATCAAATGAACACTGCAAATGCTTCAAGGTAGATTTCCATTTTGAATAGGAAAAACTGGGTTACTTGCTAAAGCGTGATCACAAACCCATTCATTAAATTATCCGTGCACCTGCTGAAGAACAGCTTTGATTTGACCTATTTGCGATATCAAGCAGTTTTAATCAAGTTCTGGAT